TGTTTTCGTTTACCGATTTAGAAGCTAGGGTTTCTAAGTTCGATTGCTTGCCTAATTGTTCGTTTACTCGCTTTCTCTAGTCGTAATTAGCATTAATCATCTCAACCCAAATTGATTAGAATGTTTACGTTTAATTTTTCTCTTTTTGTGATTTGAGCGATCGAATAGTATGTAATGCTCCGAATAGCCTTCCCTCGAGATCGACCCGATTCGGGTAACTCGGTTATATTTTACCCACCGCAAAATTTCACTAAAAATTTATGTGTTGTTATATATAAATTTATCTCCAAAATCTTAGCTGGTAGACTCAAAAGTTGTCTTAATGATTGCATCCATGAGGCTCAAGCTGCTTTTTTACCTGGGAGGCAACTCACTGACAATGTGGTCATAGCAAATGAAGGTATCCATTTTTTAAACAGGCACAAATCTGGTAAACATTCATTCATGGACATGAAACTTGATATGATAAAGGCCTTTGATAGGATTGAATGGAAATGCATTAGACAGACCATGCTCATAATGGGATTTGCTACTCAATTTGTTAACTGGATTATGGAATGCATCTCTACTGTCTCTTTATCCTTGATTCTTAATGGCAGTCGTTGTGACCACATAAATGCTCAGATAGGAATAAGGCAGGGGGACCCCATGTCCCCCTATCTCTTTATAATTGTCTCACAGGTGCTCTCAGCAATGATCAACTCTGCAGATGAAAGGGGAGTCTACAAAGGAATCTCTCTGGCCAAAGATGCTCCAATTCTCACTCATTTACTGCTTGCAGATGACTCCATCCTTTTCTGCAAGGCAGATGAGTATCAAGCCAGAAACATCAAGTTTATCCTTGATCAATACCAGCTCTTCTCAGGCCAAAAGGTCAATACAACTAAGTCCTCCATCTTCTTCAGCAATAACACTAGCCCACTCATCAAGCAGGTTGTCTGTCACTACTTTCTTGGGATCCAAATTCAGAAATTCTCTAGATATCTGGGTATGTCCTTGGGTAATGGCCATTCTAAAAGGCAAGTGTTTGGTTTTGTGACAGGGGCAGTGAAGAACAGGATCCTCAGTTGGAAAAACAATTATCTCTCAACTGCTGGGAAAGAAGTCCTGGTCAAATCTATCCTCAATGCACTACCGCTCTTTGTTATGTCATGCTATAGGCTGTCAGTGGCCATCTGCAAGGAAGTGACCAGCCTTTTTGCTAAGTTTTGGTGGAGTAGGAACAATGAGCAGAACTCTGGAATTCACTGGAAAAGATGGGAGCTCCTGACTCTTTCCAAAAAATATGGAGGTTTTGGCTTTAAAGGCATTTCTCTATTTAATGATGCTATGATAGTGAAGCAAATGTGGAGACTGACCACTCAGTCCCATCTCCTCATGAGCAAGATTCTAAAGAGTAGGTACTTCCCTCATACCTCTATCTTTGAGGCCCAGCTGAAACAAAACTCCTCTTGGCTTTGGAAGTCATGGCTCAAAGTCAGATGGCTATTGAAAGAAGGCCTAAGTGTGGAGATCAAGAATGGAGTCTCAGTTCATCTTCATAACCTGAACTGGATTCCAGGAATCAGAGGAAGACCCTCTATTTTCTCAGATGAAGCTGATTTTGGCAACCTCTTGGTGCAGGACCTGCTACTTGCTGATAACACTTGGAATGTACAAAAAGTGAGAGAAGTGTTTGTTGCTGATGACATCAATGAAGTCCTTAAGATCAGAACTCTTGACCCTCTCTCAGCTGACAGATGGAAATGGACAATGGGGGCACAAGGCAGATTCTCAGTCTCTTCCTTCTATGACTACCTGCACAACAAAAAGCTCATATCCTTTGACATTGCCGAGGGCAGCAGCACAGCAGCCAGAAACTAGCACATTAGACACAAGAGTTGAAGCATCAAGACTAAAGGTAAGATCAAACATTTCTTATGGAAATGCTACTCAAATTCTCTACTTGTGAACCTTAAACTGAAAGAAAAGGGTATTGAGATCGATGCCATCTGCCCTTGCTGTGGTGAGACTGTTGAATCAATTAAGCAAGCCCTCTTAATCTGTTCTAGAGCTAAGAGAGTGTGGAAATATGCCCCTGTTCAATGGGATGGCATTGCAGTCGAAAAACTACAAGTTCAAAGATTGGTGGGGAACTATCTTCTCCATTGACAAATCCAAAGTTGCTGAAGCTAGAATTGAACTTTCTACATACATCCTTTGGTGGCTTTGGAAGTCAAGAAACCTATGGGTCTTTGAGAAAAGCTGGAAGCTAGAGCACATCTTTGTTAATGGGGCTCTAAGGTAATGGCAGGAAACCTTGAAGAACAGGTCCTGATTTATGGGTTGAACATTCATTTTCTAGCTAGGTCTATTCTATAGTTCAGTGGCTAGATTACATTGTTGATGGTTGTCTTTGGTGTTTGTTGATTCTCTGGAGGACTCAGCTTTTTGCTGCCTATGGTGCTCTTGGTTGTATCTATTTAGCCTACTTGTTTAGGTAGTGCTCCTTGGCTTGGCCATCGGCTTTAGTTTGTATCTTGTACTGAACTGATTTCCATTTTGTTAGAGTATTCCTATCGTTCTTGGCAAAAAAAAAAAAAATAATTAAAGAAGATGTTGAAAGTCGATCAATCTTGACCAGTGGATCGAAGTCGAAATGGATGATGAAGATTAAAGAATTTTGTTGAAAAGACAGGTCGAATAGGACCGTTAGATCAAGGACTGAGTCAATGTAGGAGATAAAAACAAGAGGGGATCAAGACATGATATTTATGATCGTTGAATTAAAGAGCAATCTAAAGGACTTCATCAATGTAGCATTAATGGGCACACTGCATGTGGACATCACTTACCACGAGTTGGTTAAGTAAAACATGATGCTTGCACTGATTTTAATCTGACAGGTGACGGAGATTAAAAATTCAAAATTTGAACTGTTACCTCAGCCAGAGGTCAATTATGTCATTCCGAGATTGTAGGAAACGAGGTGAATTGGTCAACTAAAAAAAGTGTGAGATAACAATTCCGGACAAAAGAAAAAAGGATTAACTCTTACATGAAGTAATCATAACTCGACCAGAGTGGGGGGGAGGAAAGGGAGACCAGATGATATGGAGTACCATATTGGGATTTGACTCAAGAAACCAACCAACCTAACCTAGTGAACCGAGAGGTCGATCAGAGATCTAGAGAGGCATCAGGTCGATCGAGATGCAGACAGGTTGACCTAGAGGCATTAAGGTCGAAAGATGGATCAGAGGACAGAGTACATTAGTCTAGCCTGGAAGGCGATCTACCTCATGAGAAGGGGATGGGTCTCACAGTTTCACGATCTAGCGAAGAAGACTAATGGATTAAATGGAATATAATGCAGATAATCATCATACGTGGATTGGGCCATGTGAGCTTAGGCATCTTGGGCAACAAGGCAACGCCCCTATATAAAGGAGGTGAGATATGTCTATTTATACTCTACATTATCTACACACTCTCAATAATTACATAGCTTTCTACTGTTCGTCGTTCTCATCACTGTGGACTGACTTTTTCGTCACAATGCTAACGCTGGGAACCCCTCCCAGCCCATTTTGCAGGACTACAAACAGGTCATAATGCAAATCAAGTCGTGCGAACTGGATAGAGGTTTTTTCCACACCAACGGGTATTGGGAGCCCCAACAATTAATTATGTGAACTTTGTTTAATGCTCGGATCAATGGAATACACCAAAATATTGAAAAAAAAATTAACAAATAAAACATTAAAAGAAAATAAACTCACAAAAAGATAAATAAGGCAAAAATATGGATGTGTGAATAATTTAAGCGTAGAAAAATATACTACTAGTATAAGACTTCATATGTACATTTTGTCATCGAAACATTTATAACTTTTAAAAAATTCAAACAAAGCTCAATGTAAAATAAATTAAATAACTCGTGACTTTGTGAAATTAAAATGAATATGTTAACCCTTTATGGAGAAAGAATATTTTCTATTGCAAAATTTGTCGTAACTAATAAAAAACAAACGCAATATTTTCAAAAAAATGAAAATATATATCAAATTCTAACTACCTATTAATTAATGGTAATTTTTTATTTTTTTTTTCAAACGATAAATTCATATATAAAAACACATAATTACAGCTAGCTAAGTAGTCGGAAAAGGGAGGTCTACCGCCAAGAGATAGCTTATGACACAAAACACTACAAACACCACACAAAACTAAAAGCTCCACTAATGGAGAATAAATACTCCACGACGGAAGAATACACACTCCCAACAGGAGAAAAACACGAACGCACACTAACAGTACAAACTAAACACGACCACAGAAACAAAAAAAAAAACCTAAAACAAATAAGAGCTAACTAGCTAATGCCCTCCCCACCCGACGGGAAAGCCCATAACCACCACTCTGGGCAAACACTCATCGTGAAATACCGAGATAAGTCCCGAGATTCACGGCCCAAACACAAGACCCAGAAACTTCCTTAATGGGCTAACCAGATCTGGACCACAAAATATTATATATAAAACCTTCTATACTATAATAGTAGTATTTTTAAGAAATGGAGTCGGACGATGATCGTACGTACATTAATTAGAAACGAAACCGAACAGAAATAGTATAAAACTTATTTCTAATTAGTAGTAATAGTTTTATGCCTGCATTCGGAGATGGAAAATTTTTCCTACAATTATATCTTTCATTCTCCAGAAACTGTAATATTGTGTAATGGCAGCACAGAAGATGTGTCAAATAAAGCAAGCAATAATCATTCTTAGCTCACTATGCACAATCATACAGCTTGACAAACAAGCGACTCAAGAAACTTAAATAATATACCTACGTAATCCTTAGTTATATGTATATAAATCCTTAGTTATATGCTAAAATTTAGAAGGAAAGAGAAATAATCAAATGATAGCTAAAATTTAGAAGGAAATAGAAAGAAACAAATTTAATTACAATTGTACTAGAATTAATATTGAAGACGAATCCATGATGACTTTCTAAGTACTCCAAATAAAATTGTTGAGTATGGTTAAATCCTCCTGAGTCAACTCATAGTCACCGTAGTCGAAGGCGCATGAAGGGCTGGAGACTGGGAAATCCGGGAGCATGGGCTGGAGACTACTATTCGCGTCAAGATAATCAATACCAATTGCCTTCTTCTGTATCTCGTGAACATTTTCTCCAAGAACTACTCGGTGCTCGTCTCTCGGCTCGCCAATTGCCTTCTTCTGTATCTCGTGAACATTTTCTCCAAGAACTACTCGGTGCTCGTCTCTCGGCTCGACAATTGCCTTCTTCTGCTTCTTGTGAACATTTTCTTCAAGAACTACTCGGTGCTCGTCTCTCCGCTCGACAATTTCCTTCTTCTGCTTCTTGTGAACATTTTCTTCAAGAACTACTCGGTGCTCGTCTCTCGGCTCGCCAATTGCCTTCTTCTGCTTCTTGTGAACATTATCTTCAAGGACTACTCTGTGCTCGTCTCTCGGGTCGTGGCGGGTCCACGAGATCTTACAAAGCACATGATCCTTGTGCTTCACCTCGTCGTCCGTTAATGAATCCAAGGCCAGGGAGTACTCATGCATGATCCAGTGGCCGGCTTTTGCACCTTCCTTCTTCGCCTGACGACCGTCGACCTCGAACGAGAACATCCTCATGTGGCCGATCACCCGATTGCCGTTCTCGTCGTCGTAAATCTCTCGAGGGGTTGTCTGGCCGCTCCACGTGCCCCCTCCTGCCCGTCTCGAACACCGAGTCTTGATCTTGAATAGCTTGGTTAGCACGTACATCACTCTCTTCCCTTTCTTGAAATCTTCGTCTCCAGCTACATACCAACCGGGGTCGTCGGGGTTTCCGAAAACGACCCGTGGGTCTGCCGTCTCCCCGTAAACGTCTCTCTCCACAATCAGGTCTTTGATTGGCAACGGCAGACCCTTTGACCATGGCAACAGATAGAATTTGATCAGCTCTTCATCGGACGGTAGGAAGTGGTGCCCCGACGGGATGTCGGCTCTTGTCCAGGAGCGCCTCATCTCTTTTTCTTTATCTCTCAAAATTTAGGTAAGATATGTGTTATGTTTCCTTTGGGCCTGCAGACATCTAATATTTATAACCTAATTTTAGAAACCCTACAGCTCAAGTCGGTAGCAATTTTTTTTTTTTTTAATCATCCTATTCCGATTCTATTTAGTATACTACTGTTCACTTAATTAAATACATAAATATTTTATAATACTTACTTTGCAAGCTACTAGTATTAATTAGTTTTGTGATTAATACTTGCAAAATTATTTTATATTTTACACCTTTATCTTATCATATATTTCAACTCAAACATTACTTAATCAATTATTATTTTTAATTAAACATATAAACAGACTTACTTTAAATTATTAAATAATTCTAAAAAATACATTGTTGTTTTTAATTTTGAAAGACACACGTCCGTTATGTAAGACTAGGTTGTGTTATATTGAAACACCAGTACAACATATGTGTATTACACGGGTGTTTGTTAATTTTTTTTTCATAAATTTAAAATTAATGAGAAAAAGTGGCTGTAAATTTAAATACTTTCTATAAGAAAAATATATTGTTATATATTTTAGTATGACACTTGTTACTTGTGCGACTTGGTTGTGCTATATAATAACATTTTTTCACTTATAACACATAAATACATTAAACATAAATATATTCATTTAGAAATAATAATTTTATTTTTCTATATTAGTTTTAATAAATAATTTTATTATTATTATAAAGATAAATATAATTTATTTATTTTATATATACAATATGGATGTCAAATCGAAATTCATAAAAAGATGACTAATTTAATATATTATATATATAAAACCGATAAGAAATACAAAAGTTATCAACTTTTAAAATACATTCCAATTCAATGGTTATAGTAGGAAATGATATTAAAATACAATAATACATCTAAAATGATCATAAATAAATCAACATATTTATGTTAATCCGAACCTAATTATTTTTGGATTGGAATTAAATTAAAATCTATCCAAATCAAATAATGAAGCATAGAATTTTGACACCTAGAATCCCGAGCATGTGAGTCTGCTACTTAGACTCAGTATATTCGGAAATTATATATAAGGAGATTTTATAATTGATAATATCATATGTATATATATAGGCTTGATTCATAAATTAAGTGATAGTGAAAAGAGCATTTTATAGTTTAAAAATTCTATCACGAGTGTAATGAATCAATGAGATCGAAAAATTAATATAATAATATCTATCTTACCAATTATGCGCACAAAAACCATACAAATTTAGGGGGAAAATATCAAAACTAGTCCCACAGGTATAGGGAGTGATATTTTTTGTCCTAACGGAATTCAGAAAATATTAATAGTCCCGCAACTTTTGAAAAATAATCAAAAGTAGGACTTTTTTTAATTTTTCGGCCCAGAATGCCACGTGGCACACACGTGGCGAGACTATTTAAGATTTTATGGATTCTTTTGGGACAAAAAATGTTACCTCCCAAAACCTGTGGGACTAGTTTTGATTTTTTTTTCCTTCCAATTGTACTCAGCCACGTCAGATGAATGTGGCCACGTGGCATTCCGGGCCGGAAAATTTAAAAAAGTCCTACTTTTGATCATTTTTTAAAAGCTGCGGGACTATTAATATTTTTTGGATTCCGTTGGGACCAAAAATGTCACCCCCCCTATACCTGTGGGACTAATTTTGAATTTTTCCCCAAGTTTATGTATAGAAGAGATTTAATTTGCAACATAAATGAATAGAACGTTTCAAATAAAATCAGTTGATTGCTCATATACATATATATATATGGTTGGGTTCACGTGAGAATGATTCTCAATGAAAAAAATGAGAATAAATCGTGGCCATTAGATCGGATGATCTAATGGCTAAAATAAAGTCAAAATTATACCTTTATTAAGGTATTGAAGTAATTTTATACACTACATTCAAACAAATGTGTACCACTCCAAATTAAATAAACCTGCCACCTACCCCAACTACCCACCCACCCCAACCACACCTCTCTCTCTTACTCAATTCTCTCTCCCCGTCACTCTCTCTCACACACAATTACACACTGTTTGGTATAGATATAATGGGCAAAGGATAACCGAGTTACCCGACTCGGGTCGATCTCGAAGGAAGGCTATTCGGAGCTTCGTCTACTAAATGATCGTCCAAATCACAAAAATCGAAAATAAAATCC